ATTCCTGCTCCAACCAGCCTGCTGCCTTTTAATTTTTCACTCAAACCCTTTGCTCCATTTTCCTCCTGGCTCACCTGCAGCCTGTTGCAGTTGTCTGCAGCTGACACGATGATATCTTCATCATTGAAGAGGACATCAGAGTCTCTCTTCAGATGGATGGCTTTGGAGGTGTGAACCCTCTTAGTCTCCCATAACTACAAAACAAGAAACATGGCATGTAAAGCTTGATAAATATACTGTAATGTAGACTTCCACAAACTAACATGACTTTTCTCCTGTTTTCCTAATAAAGTGCTTCTTTGTAAACTGTGTTTTCACATTATCATCATCATTATGCTGCAGATTCAAACTGAGAATAATCAGTCTGTGGCCAAAAAAAAAAGTTATCAGTACCCGTCTCATGAATTTCTGACTGAGGTGGATACATTGGGGCAGTTGAGCTGCCTCAATAGGAGCAAGTCTAAACAACAACACTGAACTCACAGAGAACTTCTTGCCACCAAAATAATATTAAATATGTGTATCTCCAGTTTGTCATTTGCACTGTAAAGGCCTATATCCCATATGATCACTTTGTTTTCAGGCTGTTGATGATACATACTGCTTTCTCTAAGGGTCAGGACAAATCAGCTGACAATTAATGCTTATATAAAGAAAAGCTTAAAGCAAATCAAGGTACAGAGCTCCAGGTTTTCACTTACTTTTATAACACATCAAACAGTAGCTGTTTATGCTTTATTTACAGTATCCTGGCTGGTAAGTGGGGAGTTTGTTCAAGCTTTCAAACACGCAAAATGATGTTCAGTTAAAATGTCTGAAGTAGAACTGCAACATAATTCCTGATTATTCCACATTAGGATGAGGAGGGACCAAATATATGCTCACTGTTCAGGGTCATAAGCTTTGATATTACTGGCACAATAGGTATGAAAACAGTAGCTGTGCCACCAGATACACTAATTTATAACACCTCCCACCCCCATCCCCAGTCTCCCACACACACACACACACACACACACACACACACACACACACACACTGAGTCAGACTTACCCTGACAGTCTGGTCGTCAGAGCAGGAGAGCAGCTGTGAGCCATCAGGAGAGAACTGGACACGCTGGACCCAGCTTAAGTGACCACTGCAGTCAGCCATCTTCTTATTGGCTTCTAAGTCCCACAGCTGGAAGACACACATATGGATTACTGTACACTTACAAGCCAATAGTATAGTATTATTTTCAGGAACCTTCAGTCTTATACAATATAGCACTTCAATTGGACACCAAAACAGCGTGGCTGGAAACCATTTTAAAGGTGCATTACTAAGACACAGATGTGGCTTTCTTCCTTCTGTGCGTGCAAGTACTGTAGCTGGCTTATATGTAATGCTGGCTTCATTAGCAAGCTGATTTTGTACCTTTGTACTAAATTATTCTGGTTGTAATTTGGAGTCATTCCAACTGACTGAAGGGTTAGTGTTGTGTTGTCTAATTAGCGGAAACCAGAGCGTTTTCCTGGATTAGCAAATGAAGTAATTTTGCTAATTGTTGCTCAGCTTTGGTCCAGGTTGTCAGACAGTAGCATTTCAGTGATAAGTTGTTAAAATTTATACCATCAACACAACTAGAAAAGTGGTGTTCTACGGTGTTCAAAGGTTTGTTCAACTATCAAAGCGTAACATGAAATTTCTCGTTTCACATACAATTCACAGTTATGTGTGTCAGGTATGTAACACTGAACGATATGTGATAGTACTGTATCAATATTACTGAAAAAAAAACATTCCTCTATATAATTTGCTTGTGTTACTGCAGATACATCTGTAACAAACAATGTTAGACATACGTATTCATTTTATTTAAAGTAAACCTCTTTATTTGACATTGTGCCACTGCAATGCCACTGAATACCACAGGCTCTATATTAGTTCTGGAGCTGATTATTACTGCTGCACTACCTACCACAACGGTTTCTGGCTGAGCATGTATGACCTAGTTTCACAGACAGGGCAAGAGGGGCAACAAGGAACAGTGGGAGAAGAGGAGGGGAAGCTGCTCGAGTTCGTTTTGACTCTCACTTCAGCCCTTAACGGTTGAAAATTAGAGGGCGAAGTTATTTAATGCAGCTTTAAATAAATTCATTAAAATAATTTAATTTAATAAATACATTTTTACTGCAAAAGATATGAATCCTGATCACTACCACACTTCACACACAAGAAAAACAGAATGTGAATGAGAAAGACAAAAAAATATGCATTTAAAACAAATTAAACTTTTTCTGCATAAAAGAATTGTAACTGTATTTTTCAAAACATCTAACAACACACCAATAAAATGATAAACATCCTATAAAATATGACCTATATACCACGTACTACCTTTTATACAGAAACATTTTGATAAAACCAATGATGGTAAGATGATGTCATGGGGTAGGACTGGATAAGTCTGACTTCTTCCTACTCCGTTCAAGCATGTACTAGGTATAAGCAAATTGATATTGGATTAGCATTTGTTGGATATGTGTGAAATTATGTGTGTTGACATATCGACTGTCTTTACATGCTTGAAAGAATAAAATCAATCAATCAATCAAAAAAAAAAGAGGACATTCAGTACAAAGTGGGATTGTGTGAGTGAGTACGTGTTGTACCTCCACAGCATAGTTTGAGAAGGCAATAGCCAGCAGATTACTGGTAGGACAGGCGTGGCAGTATTGCACCATGCTCAGACGACTGGTCCTGATCTCCAACAACATGTCTGATGTGTCCACATCAAACACCTGAAAAACAGACATTTGGATTTACCCACCTAAAGTGGCAATAAATACAAACTTACTGTATATTATATCTTACCAGGAACAGAAGTTTAAGGCCATTAATATCAGTTTGTGAGAGAGAAAAAAAATACTGCAACAATATTTGTTTTAAACAAATAGAACACCAAAACCTTTTTCAGAAAGGACAACGTAAATGATCAAAAATAAGAAATGTGACCTAGACATGAACTGAATTAGATATTTTACAGCTGAAAATTGCCAGTGCTCCCTGCCGGTCAAGCTGTGTAATAATGACACTATCTACATGACCTCAAATATATCTTTGGCAATTTTATATACACATTGTGGTGTGCTAAAATCTGCTGGTTTTCCCTCTCATGAAAGCCAAAGAAACCACCTCCGCAGTGTTTGGGTTGTTTTCTGGAAACCAAATGAATGAAGATGTACAGTAGAGGACACGGATCAACTAATTACAGGACAAGACTGACTGACTGTGGAAAGCTCAGAAGAGGAGGGGCTGTGCACATTTACAACCAGGACACATGTTCTTGATAGTGGAAGACAATCTGTCAAACAGACTCTCTTTTCCATCTCCTTCAACGAAATGACATGCAACAATAAGGTTAGGGAGAATAAGTGAACCCTGTTGTGTTGGATTTTTATCTGTACAGCTGAAAAATGTACGACAAGACAGATTCAAACTATCTTCACCCTTTATCTCACATTTAGGACTGCCCACACATAGCAAACTACAAACAATAAGAGTTTCTACTCAATAAAACATGATCACAGCCTTACAAACAAATCTTCACGTTCCAAAATGCTCACCAAAACAGCATTCCTGGCAGCACAAATGATGCGTTTGCTGTCTGCCGTCCAGGTGCTGCACTTGACAAGCACCTCTTCATCGCTCTCTGCAAACATGTTCCTCACATTGATTGTCTTCCACATGTTGGCAGATGATACTTGAAATAGCTGCGCGCACACACACAGCAACACAAAAAACACAGTAGGAGCATGTCAGTACAGAATAAATTCTAAAAGCACTGTAGTTTGAAAGCATCTGTGAACACAAGCCTATATGATGTTTAAAAATGGAAAGTATTCCCAAAAAGTCCTGGTGTTCCTTCTAGAGGTGCCATCATCCTACTTTATCAAAGCACTAGTAATAACAGACATAATCACATTTATTTTTGCCAAGCACACATTCGTTTCAGGTAAAGTAGAGAAAAAGTAGCTGCTGCAGCTTTTATTTCCATTTGTTTTTGTGCCCTGCTGAGCTATACCGGCACCATTTGAGACATTTTAGTTTATAAAATAGTTTGGACAATTTTAAGTCGAAATCAACTTCTAACATAAAATATGTTCTCAATCCAACAAAGCAAACAGAAAAGGGGTCTTTTATAATTAGCATCGCCAACGATAAAGAGGAGTAGATTTTCTTACTGGCATCGTCCATATTTACTGTACTTAACATTTGTTACACTGTATCACGTTGTTATTACAAATAGTAATAAATATGTCACAGTGCATTATGTCACACTGTTTATGGTTAATTTTCTCAGGAAAGAGTTATTTACTTTGATTTAATGGCCTCACCTTTACAGTGCCATCGTTGGAGGACGTTGACACATAGCTGTCATCAGGGGAGAAGCAGCAGTGGTTGACTGGCTCAAAGTGGCCAAACAGGGTGTTCTGGGAGGATGGCTTGTTGAGGTTCCACACCTACAGATACAGAGAAATACAATGACAACGAGAGAGGAAAAGACAAAGTATGAAAGAAGAATGAAAACATTAGAAAGTCAACTGTTGCTTATTGTAGCACAATTGTATTGTATAAATGCATGTATAAGATATTTTAATCATTTAGACATTGTATGACAAAAACACATACTATACATGGAGAGAAGGAGTCACACCACAAAAAAGGCACAATATGTCTGTACTCTGACATACCTTGACGTTCAGATATTTGTCATTGGAGCAGGTGACCAGCAGGAGGCGCCGTGTCGTGTTGGTAAACTGACAGTGGTTGACCTGCTCTTCATGCTCCTCCTCAAAGACCCTCAGCAGCATGGCTCGCTCTACATTCCACACCTAACAAACACAGTTTCAAGATTTTTAAGAAGAAAAAAAAGGGTGTTGGATTTTAACGTGTCATTTTATGTGAAATGTACTTGTCTGTCTGTTGCTATAAACCAAGCTGGTCATAACGGGGGAGTGGACAGTTACCTGCTCACCTTTACTTTCCTGTCACTAGAGCAGGTTGCTAGAAGATGGTCGTCAGGGGAGAAGGCACAGCAGAGAACCTCGTCATCATGGGCCGGGATCTCCATGAGCTTCTCACCTGAGGTGCTTTTAAACACCTGAGCACACAAGTATGACAACGGCAGTTACATAATACTTATATGCAGTGAAATTACTAAATTCGTTATTAAGGACCACAACTTCTTCCTTCACTTCCAGATTCAGAGGTTTGAAAGCTCAATATTAAATTGAATAATTGTGCAGTGAATGAATGCTCAGTAATTATAAGTTTTACTATTACTTGTGTATAATTCCCAATTGTTGCACAGGAGCAGCTACATACCTAAATCTCCTGTACAAAGAGCACTCTGACCATTATGCTGCATTTTCATTTCTTAAATGAACAGGCCTGCAGTGGATTTGCCTCCTTTTTTTGTTCTCCATGTAAACACACACACACACACACACACACACACACCTATACACAAATGCAACAAAAGAAATACATCTGCTTTGATACCTTCAGAGTCTTGCTGGCTCCACAGGAGGCGATCTTGGCTCCATCATGAGAGAAGCAGGCAGAGTAGATGGAGCCCTGCTGGGGGTGGATCACCAGACGGGACAGACTCTCTACACTGCTCTTATTCCTGGACAGAAAAAATACACACACACACACACACACACACACACACACGAGACACAACAAAAATATTCAATTTGTGAAAATGAAAAAACCTTGTATCCAATTAGCTTTTAGCTCAGTCACATACATTTCTATTTGCAGCAAACAAAAATTTTAAAAGCAACTGATTTATAATTGCTCAAGAAGGTCAGTACAGTCATTGATTTTAACATTCACACATTAGAGTAACAGTAAATTGTTTGCTTGCTTGCGTACAGCCAGTCAAAGTAGAGTTTCCCTGTGCTGGCCCGGTCCTGTGCCTGCTGCAGAGCCTGCCTGTAGACCTCAGAGGTGCATGGCTGAGACAGTGCCAGTTGCACCACATCAGGAAAAGGACGCTGCTCCAGCTGGTGGCCGTTCAGAGACAAAAACTCCTGGAACTGACTGCGCACTTCACTGTTCTGGGAGGACAGAAAGCACAAGTGCACTTCAGTCCACAGCTGTGGAGCATGTAAGTGAAACTATACGAGACTTGTCTCTTATTATGAAGACAGCTTTTCTTCACTAAGGACGCCATTGGAAGACATTTTATCTTTCTTGATCTCATGAGAGATTTTTGTGTGATGGGTTTATCACCCTAATGGTAAGGCTTTGCACTAATCCTCTTCTTTTCTTGACTATGTGAGTTATCTGCCAAGTTTTTATAAACTGAATTTGATGATATGAAGATGATACAAAAATGGTGAACATCCTTATGTTAAAGCTAGGTTATTATCATTTTCCAATGCCATATAGGAGCTTTTTTAACATAAACACAGGAGGGAGTCTTTACAAAAACTGTAACTCTCCATTGTAATCAGGTGAAAAATGCACTGTTCAGCAAAAAGTGCTGAATAAATATACATACCAACTTCGTCATTTATACAGATATGGAAGAAAAACATTTATTGAAAATTACTGATGTCTACACAAATGGGATATGAGACCAAATTATTACTTTGGTATAAAATCAAACTATTTTTGCATTAGAAACATCAAAAAAGAGCAGGGCCCTCTTAAAATTGATGTCCTTGCAAAACAGGTGTGGGAGTTACACATCCCTATGCGTTCCCGGTAACTGTATGATAAACCACCTGCTAATTATCAAATCAGCTGTCTTGCCACAATAAAAATTGGGAAGGGACCAGGGGACAGCCAAAATATAGATGGGCAATGAACTTATCTTTATAAATGAGATGAAAAACAACTTGGTGGGGAGGATGGAGGGACACATTTTATTTAACCCACTAAGTTTTGTTGTAGCCTGACCTCTTTGTCCAGAATGGGTCCATACTCCACATAGTCATTGATGAGGTGGGCTGGACCCATTATCTGGGCCTTGATGTTGACCCAATCCAAAGAGAACATGAGGGAGTAGAGCTCCTAGACAAAGAAAGAAAGACAAAGACATGGTGAGCAAAACAGATGCTGAAGAAATAATCAAGTCCATGCCTGAATGGAGTGTGCGTGGGCAATATTGCTGAAATTAATATTACCACATTAATAAGACAACTTTCCTGATAGTGAAAATTTTGGCAAAATCATACATTAAAATAATTTATGCTCAGTGAAACTGTTTCAGTGCATTTCATCAGCAAAACCTAAATGGGAAAAAATATTTTATGAAATGAAAATGATCTAACAAATCGAAATCTAAGAAAAGTTCTAGATGGAGCCGTGCTTTTTTTGTTGCAGGCCTTAAGCTGAGGAATAACTTGCCCCTACATATTAGACTGGCTCCTACAGTATCTGCCTTTAAATTTCTGCTATGGCTCATAACATTCTGTGATAGCACTCTTTTTGTATCACCTCTTCTATCCCCTTTCACCCTACCTGTTATTATTTTGCACTTCTGTAATTGTTTGTAGGAATAGGATATGGCACTTTGCTTTTTTAATTTTATACTTGTTTTATGGTTTTAACTTATTTTAGCATGCACAGCATTTTAGCTAAATTCTGTTGTTTAAAATGTGCTTCATAAATAAATTGACACCGACATGATGTCAGCACACAATAAACACTGAAAGCTGATTTTCAAAAACACTGATGTGTGATTCTTACTTGAGAGAGATTGGCTTTGGCCATGTGGTAGGGCAGGAATCTGATCCAATAGAGACATTCCTCATCTCCTGACGTGGGAGGGCCGTCTCTGTAGTGCTGCTGGTACTGACGCACCACCTTAGTGTGGAGGCTCTAAAACACATGGACAAATTAATTATCCCAACATGGACAGAAGCCTAACATCTCTTAAGTGCTACAAACCTACAGTTGTAAAGCAACTATCGAAGTGTCTCAGTGTTTTCCATACACTGACTTATTTGTGGTGGGCCACCACAATATCAACACTGACCGACACAAAATGATTTAAAATATGTAGGTTAAAACTTAATTCCATGTAGTGCCATGCGTAGGGCTTAGTCCCTCCATGTCCCGCTCTATTTCTCTCTCTTGCACACACCGATACATGTTATTAGCAAGCTAGTAAGGCTAGCTAAGCTAACATTGGAATACAGCTGTTGCCAAGGTCAGCATGCTGTATATAACATGGATGTGTATGGACTAATCTGCAAGTGGATAGATTTCTAATATTTACTGGCACTGCTGAAGCAGCAAGAGAGGGTCAGGAAGAAATGGTTAAAGAGACAGATGTACGTTAGAAGAGGAGGAAGGCAGCAACCAACATGCTACTACTGTGGGAGCTAGTCCAGGTAGTGCAGCAGGGACAGATCCTATGAACCGAGGTAGCCTACTATAGTATTACTATATGAGCATCCGCCTCAAGTAGAATCTAATTCTGTGGGAAACACTGTCAACATCACTGCCCATGTAGTAATAAATTGGGAACCCAACTTCCAGACTAACTTCTAGCTCAGTACGGTTCTGCTCCACCAGGAAGTCCAGCTGGAGGTCATGGAGGTAGTATAGGTATGGTTTATTGTGACTGTCCACAAAGAGCAGAGACTTATTGGCAAACTCCTCAAGAATGTCCTCCACCTCCTCCGGCTCCAGGTCCCACAGAACAGACAGTACCTGGGAGAAGGAATAACATCATAAGTGATGAGAGTTTTTATAGCTGAAAAAACATGGAAGCATCTCTTGTTGTGTAGCCAAACCTTAGCAGGGACTTTGATGTCCTTTTCTATTACAGTAAGGTCCTTGTAAAGCTCTTGATGTTCATCAGGCAGGACCTCAATACTTGCAGCCATGGCCTGATCTAGGGCATCATAATCGTAGGATGATGACTTTCTTATCCGCTTAAACTGCTTCTGCTGCAGCTGGCCGAGGTAGTAATGCCAACGGTTGGGTTTCTCTTTGAGCAGAGCCCCAATCAAGGACACCACCAGAGGAGAGCCTGTGACAGTGGCACAAAGAAGCAGAAAAATGTGTACTGAAGGCACACTATATGAGCAAAAATATTGCCCCATAAAGCATAAGATTTGAATCCACCACAGAAAAAATAAATATTAGTTCCTAGTGTACTAATATCACATCCTATAAAAAGTTTCATTTACGTCACCAGCATTAATAAATGCAAAATTAAATCAGGTCTTTGTTTTCTCTTAGAATCTTTGAGAAACATTTAAATATTTAAATTTATATGACAAATTGATTGTGTAACATTTATTAATAATTAATATTGTGACAAAAGTTATGGACTGTATGTATGTTTCATTTTACGGACCTTTACATTCTCTTACAATGCTGCGAGCCTCCTCAGGAAGTGCCTTTGGTTTAGTTTTTGTGTACAGAGCAAGGATTTCCAATGCTTTGTTTTCATCTAGACCACTCTCCACCTCCACCTCATATTTAGCACCTACAAAATATAAGCACAAAAGGTTTCATCTAAGCTTGCAGGTGTGTCATAAGTAAAGTAGAAGACAACAATTTAAAACACCTAAACTAGATAATGTAACTTAAAAAAACTCAAGAAATAGTTTAGCTAATATTCAGACAATTAGTACGTAATTATCATATGGTAAAACAACTGCAACAAAAGCAAAAACCAGTGAACACACCACTAACTGAATCAGTAAGGCTTCTATTTCTGGTGGTCAAAAGTATCCGACAGTGGATATCAAATGCCTTCAGCACTGTACTGTCCCAGATGTCATCTAGAATCAGCAGAGATCTAAAAAAAGAGGAGAGAAGTGATCAGGCACAGGAAAAAGAAATGGAACAAAGTGTTTATCACAGCACCTAGTAAGTGTTATAAGGAGACCAGACACACAAATAAATTCAAGTTCTTTATGAGAATGCATTTGCACTGCATACCAGCACAGCTGAAGGACAAGGAAAGTAATATGGATATTTTTATGCTTATCTGAATATACAGTAGTAACCTCGGATATCTGCGTAGCATGAGGAAGCGCAGGCGCTCCTTGGCTTCATCTAGAGAGCTTGGGGTTCGATGAAGGGACTGGGAATCCAGGCTCTGCTCCAGACGAAAACACAATAACTGGATCTTCACCAGCAGGTCCGGTTTGTCCAGCTGACCAATGGACAGCCAGTGGACACCTCCGGGAAAACACTCTGCAGATGGACACAGAGGGGGAAAAAAAAGAGGCTGGAGGAGTAAGAGATGAGAAGCTACTGAAAGCTGAATTCTTGGCAGCTGTGTTTGATAACACATTAGTGTTAACATCAGTAACATCAGTGAGAATGAAAGTCGCACCAGGATTACTTCAGTTTTTTAATAACTTGTAGGCTATTTGTCGGTGATATTTGTTAGTTTCAAAGTAATGCATGATTATTAGGCAGTGTTGGTCATTCACCTTCAATGAGTTCATGGTGTCTGACAGCCTCTGCAGCCAGGACAGATTTGCCCGAGCCAGCCATTCCAAACACAGTGACCCAGCCAGCCTCTTTCTGCAGACGGTAAAGTTTCTCCCTGACCCGGTTCACCAGCTCTGGTCGGCTGACAAACACCACTGGCCTCTGTGGTACACCACCTTCACTCAGCACTGTCTGAACTATTAGACAGGAAGGGGGTTGATATTAAGGACGTACCAGCAGACAGGTTGTGGGAATGTTTGAGTCTACTGGTGTGAAAATTGATGTGTTGTCTAACCAAAGAAGCAAACTCATACAACCAACAGTGACTACAAATTAAATATTTAAATACAATTTTTCTCCAACACTCAAGCACTCCCACACGCAGACAACACAAACTTTCAAACCTCTACATGCTCCACTCACAGTTACCAACTTCTCACCGTAAGATGTGGAGCCATCAGAGGGGTTCTTATGTACATCAGGTAGATTATCATGGAGCAGATTGGCCAAATCATCATATCCCTCCTTGACAAGTGCATTGTAAAAGGAGGTGTAAGCATAGTTGTCCTTTCTCAGCAGCAGCTCCAGCAAAGTCACAGCCCGATCCTTCCTGGTACGCTGGAGAAAGACAAGTGTTTAGATTGAGGTGTGTGTGTAAAACCCAGAGTTTTTCTCTCTGGGATTTTATGGGACAAATTTAACAAGAGCAGGTTAGTTAAATGAGCAATAAAAATAACAAAAGGTACAGTCAGGAGTAGAAGGTGCAAAGGTCAGAGTCACATTCCCAAGACAACAAATGAAATATCTCTGTGATTCTGAAGGCTAAATTCAGACGACAGAAGGTGAAAAAATTCAAACGAATATTAACACACAAATTGGTTGTGATGTTAAGTCACTTCCAACAGCAGGCAACATATATTTTGTCAATATAGTCCTCTGTAAGACACCATAACTAAACCTACTCACTCATAGACACATGGTAAAATACAGTTAATTGATTAACAAATCAACTGAGAGCAGCCAGTAAGGTTCAAGTTGAGGAGAGCTGTGTCTAGAACATTGTGATATGCTGCACATAAAATGGCAAGTAATGTGGGGATGAGATGGCATGAATGAATAAATGAAGAAAAGAGGAGAGTGACTCAATACACATACAATGACAACATCTGAGGAGGAAAAAAGACCCATACTGCATTAAACTGTTATCTTGATAATATTCATTGCCAAACGTGTCAGTTTTAGAAAAAGGAAAATGCCACCTCAAAACTGTGCAGGAAGAAAGCAAGCAGCAAGATATAATTAAAGTGCTAAATATTAGGGGTTCCAAATTAGAAATAACTTCCCCCTTGATCTCTCAACTCGAGCAGAGGCTCACCTGAGCCGTGATCCTATCCTCCTCATCGACAGTCATCACACCATCAGCGATCATGTGGTCCATTAGGTGGGAAGGCTGGATGTCTTGCTCTAGATTATGGCGAAAGCGCAACAGACAGCTCCGTGCTCCTTCCTCCAGCGCCATCTCTGCACAACATGACAACCAACTGCTTACATTTTTTTTTAAAGTTTATTTTACCAGGAAGTCCCAGTGAGATCAAGATCTTTTTTTCAAGGGAGACCTGGCCAAGATGGCAGCCATACAAATTTACAACATAAAAAAAATTCTACACATACAACACAAACAAAAATTCCATTCACAAGATAAAACAATGGACTCTCAAGAGAAACAGCTACATGTCTCCTTCACCACATTCTTTATATCCTAACATTCTACAATAGATATGAATGTGTCCAACTTTAGATCTTCCTGCAAGTTATTTCATGACCCAGGTGCATAGTAGGAAAAAGCAGTTTTCCCCAGATCTGTAAAAATTCAAGGTACATTAAAAAGTAACCACCTGGAGGAGCACAGCTGGTAACCACCAGAGCTAAGACAGAAAAAGGTACAAACATAAGCTGGAAGTGTATGCAGTATCACTTTAGAGATAAACATATACTAGTGTTATCTACAGGATCAGTGATGTCCATCCGGCTAACTCATAAAGAATGCAGTGGTGAGTAAGAAACGTTGATTTGAAATGAAATGAAAAAATGTATCGTACACTGAATCAAGGCTTCACAAAACACAGGAGGCTGCATGCATATATATAATATATTCCCATAATCAATCACAGGTAGAAAAGTAGTTCCCACAAGTTTTTTTAGCATTGTACTGAAACAAGATTTATTTCTAAATAAAAGCTCATCTTCATGTGGAGCTTCTTAACTAGACTGGCAACAGGCACTTTGAATAAAAACTTATCATCTATCCATATCCCCAGGTACTTGTAGGAGGACACTCTTCCAATAAATGTTCCATCAAATGTGAGAATACTACAATTATCAAGCAACTATGGATATGCTTTTGAGACGACCATGAACTTTTGAGCATTTAAAACCAATTTTAAACTCAGCAGACTCACTTGAAAAGACTGAAATCTGAGGCTCTTGTAACGCCAGTGCTACAGAGGACGAATGCCTATAAATAATATCATTAGTTTAGAGGTGTATTTTTGGTAGAATATCCTTACCTAAAGAATTAATAAAAATAGAAAATAAAATTGGTCCGAAAATGGAACCCTGGGTAAGATCTATGGGTATCTCAAGAAAATCAGATTTATGGCACACTGGAATTGATCTACAAAATCATTTTTTAACTATTTAATAGCATTAGAACTGAAACCAATATTCCCAAGTTGTTCAAGTAACAATACATGGTCAAACCCCTTAGAGAGGTCCACAAATAAGACAACACAATGTTGTTTTCTGTCCAAAGCACCAAAGAGATAATTTGCAACAACCATAACGGTAGTAATGGTGCTGTGACTGGTTCTAAAGCCAGACTGAAAAGCACTTAAGATATTATTGCCAAATAAAAACAGCGTCAGCAGAGTTCTTCATGCTGAAACAAAAAAGAGCCTGCTTCAATCTGTTGCCACAAGGCCAGAAGAGCATAATTGTGTAAAATCCCTAGCATATCTACCCTTCTCTCTCTCCTCATTTCTTGACACACCTCTGCTATCTACTACCTAATAAAGGCAAAATGAGACCCTATATGTCATCCCCTCAATTTCTGTAACATCTCTACTGTCTACTATCAAATAATGGCAAAAAATGCCCAGAAGCAAACATTTTAAGATAACTTACATGGAACTGAAGCAATTTAGTTGATTATCAGTCGGTCAGAAAATCAATCTGAAACTATTTCAATGACTGATTTTCTTTTAATGGAACAAATGATTAGTTGATCGACTGAGGAAATAACTGTCGATTAACTTAGAATGAAAATAATTTCAGTTGCAGCCAAATATTACTAGACCAAAATACACAAAGGTATGTGGACCAGGTCGATACAGTGAAGTATACAAGTGTATAAACTTTGTGCCACAATCAAAAAACGAAAAACAGGAAGAACAGAAATAAAAGGGCTTATCAGCTGTTCACATATGCCTAACCAATGCCAAACTACAATACAAAAGTGACATTTAAGACAGTTTATATAACCTCCATAACATTTTTTTGCTCTAAAATAATACAGCAGTAGCTCAGAAAGGTTACCAGACTGGTTAAGATAACATGTATGGCTAAATTTCTTTATAAGTAACAACACTGTGGTGGGAGCGTAGATACTTTTTGACAGCTCTACAATGCATGTGTCTGAATGTGAAGGTTAATATAGTTAGTGCAAGTCAGGTTTAGCGCAGTCTTTCTTCTTATCATTAACGTTAGACTGACTGACTGATACACTTAGCTCGTTTCAATACTTGTCTCGACAAGTTCACTCACTCAGACCTTTCTAACATGAAACAAAGAAATAAACAACTGGTAGATACTTACGATTATCTTCTTTCCTTTAACGAGGAAGAAATGTATTTACCTGTATACGGTTATAAGGTAATGTGTTTTTACACAATCAATAAGTAAATAGCAATTTATTACAGTATTATCAGTTATACTACACACCCAAAGAAGACAGCTTCCTCATTCAGAACCAAAACAACTACTCCGATGAGAGGCAGCCAATTGTGGAGCAGGATTTAAACCATGTGACTGATGAGGTCATGTATTTAACAAATTTGTAACTGGGCAAACTGATGCTGCCTTCATAGCCCTCACTACTGTCTACGTAAAAACTCCGCTGCCCTCATTTAAATGATTTTAGTCCGGTAATAAATATTAATACGACCCCTATAAAATATGTGTTAAATAGACGTACTTATTTTTGTAATGGCCGTATTTTTGTTTGTAAATAAAGTCGCTCAGGGGCATTTGTGCTTCTGTGAATTTCACATCTTCTTTTATATGTTCAGTTAATATAGTGTAACAGTTTTGTGTGTAGCTATAACGTTTTTATTTTAAATGCTTTGCGTCTGCTAAATATTCATCTCCGCAAAATTTAGCATAACAACAAGTGTCCATCTGTGTTTGCAACTTAGAATTGTAAAAGGTCCGGACTGTATTTAAAGGTAACACAGTACTGCCTGGTGACAGAAAGAGATGTGAGAGGATATGTTTCTTCAATAGACTGGAATAAACAACTATGTGGACCATAGTACAAAGATGCACTGATACTGCATGATGTTGTAAGCATACCAGCATATTGTTATATTATTGGACTTGTAAAGCAAAGGTAATTTATGATTAGTAAAACATTTTGTGTGTTTGTGCATATATTATTAACACAACATCCATCCATTTTCTATACCGCTTAGTCCCAAACGGGGTCACGGAGTCAATCCCAGCCAGCTGCGGGCGAGAGGTGGGGTACACCCTGGACAGGTCGCATCGCAGGGCTAACATGCAGACAAACAACCACTCACAATCACTCCTACGGGCAATTTGGAGACACCAATCAACCTATGCTGCAGGTCTGTGGGAGGAAGCTGGAGCACCCGGAAAGAACCCACGCAAGCACGGGGAGAATATGCAAACTCCGGGCTCGAACCCGGAATATTCTCGCTGTGAGGCGCTAACCACCGCGCCACCCTGCTGCCCCCATTAACATTTTTATTCTGGACCATAACCCTGTCCCATTTGTAAACAAATTCATTTTCTCTCTTTATCTTTTCTTTTTTTATTACATTTTTTGCTAATGTGTTTATTCAGCATTACACTGTGTATTGTGTACAAATAAAACTGTAAACATTGAGAATGTGTGAGTGTATTGTGTTGTAATATTTGAGTGGGTCGGGGCTGATTTGAGGAATGTCATCACCTCTGATGGAATACTTTAAAAATGTATCAATCTTAAAAAGAAAAGCATAAAAAACTTAATCCATCATGTTTTGAAAAAGAGTTGTCAGACTTACATTTGGTAAATCCAGATGTGCAGATTTGATGGAACATGGATAAGTTGTCTGTTTGTCGGTATTGTGCCATCAAACCTCATCACACCATGTACGTCACAGAATGATCCTTAGTTCCCTCTAGCTGGCCCACACCTCTACTCTCTCTCTTGATAGGACAGACATCCACACACAAAGCACACATGTTGAGATCCATATAAGGCCACTTCTAAGGTAGACTGAAAGAACTGGACGTATTTCACATCATTTGACCACAAGAGGGCGGTGAAGCCTTTTTGCTGGTCTCTTATTTATATATGTACATACGATGAAAATTACAGAATTGATGTTATTTAGTCATGGGATCAATCGCTCAGGAGGAGTGGCCGCCTGTTTTAATAACTTTCCAGGTAAACTTGTGACATGTTGCAGATACAGAGGGGCACTGGTTAGGTGTAGTGATGGACACTTAGCTCTTGTTTCATTGTCTTCAGTAAAAGCTCCCACATGGTTATTTGATTTGACCTGTCACATGTTTTTAACAAACTTCATTTGGTGTCAGAGGAATCTTTGCCTTTGTATTTGTATTTGTATCTATCCCGATTAGATCCTATCTAGTTATCTCTGCATGGTCTCTCTCTCTCTCTTACAAAGCATCTATCCGTTCATCCTTCAAACAATATATTATCTACATACAATTCTGGTTGTTGTCATAGGGCTTGGGATATTGAGGTGACAGGATGGTCCCGTGACGTGAGCTCAACACACACCCACAGGGAACTGAGAGAATGAAGAGCGAGTTGACAAACAGAGCAGAAGAGGAGAAAGAGGAATGAAGAGATTTATAACATGTCTGCAAGTAACAGGGAAGGGGGGGGGGGGGGGAAA